GACTGGACCTCAGAGGAGGCTGCAGATCCAAGGTACCGGCAACAGTGACCTCTCTAGCAGAGGAGGTAGAGAGTGAAAGTGATAAGTGGAAGTGCTGGGCTGTGAAGGCTGTGAGGGCTGCAGCTGGAGGGACCCTGTTGCTTTTCAGCAATACCCGGATTTCTGAGGGGGGGGTGGGGGAAGGGTAGGAAGGAAAGAAGGCAGACAAAGAGAAATGAAGGAATGCATTTCCTGTTGTCTGTTCACAGATTTCTGGACTCCTCCACTAAAAAGCCCCAGGTACTAAGCATACACCTCCTACACTCTGCCAACAGCTTTTACCATGCACACACTCCAAACTTTAGTGGAGGGTCATCTCTGGTAAGAGAAACCCAAATTTTGTGCTATAGCGCCACCTTCTGGAAAACAAAAGAAAGGTTTCTGATTGCCAAGCTGCTGAACTTAGAATCAAAGCAAAGCCTTACCTAAATAAGAAAGGTGTTTGCTACTTCAAATGTGATGGCAGAGGCACAGTTCATGAAACACTATGAAAAATCATGGTAACGCAGTATCCCCTAAAAATGACAATTCTCTAGGCAACCAACTCAAAGACACAGAATATTGCAATCTAACTGATAAAGAATTCAAAATAGTTGTTATGAAGAAATTCAACAAGCTACAAGAAAACTCAGAAAGGCAACTCAGTGAACTCAGGAATAAAATTAATGAACAGAAAGAGCACTTTACCAAAGAGATTGAAATTATAAAAAAAAGAACAAAACGAAAATTCTGAAGCTGAAGAATTCAATAAGTGATATGAATACTGCATCAGAAAGCACTGGAAATAGAACAGATCAGATGGAAGAAAGAATAAGCCATATGGAGGAAAGGAATTTAGAAATGATTCAGGTGGAAGAGGAAAGAGAACTAAGTTTTTTTGTTTGTTTCTGTGGTACGCGGGCCTCTCACTGTTGTGGCCTCTCCCGTTGAGGAGCACAGGCTCCAGACGCACAGGCTCAGCGGCCAAGGCTCACGGGCCTAGCCGCTCCGCGGCATGTGGAATCTTCCTGGACCGGGGCACGAACCCGTGTCCCCTGCATCGGCAGGCGGATTCTCAACCACTGCACCACCAGGGAAGCCCTCTTTTTTTTTTTTTAAGTGAAGAAACCCTACAAGAGCTATCAGACTCCATTTAAAAAGCCAAAATAAGAATAATGGGTATACCAGAAGAAGAGAGGGAGAAACGGGCAGAGAGTTTATTTAATGAAATAATACCTGAGAACTTTCCAAACCTAGGGGAAAAAACCGGACATACAAATCTATGAAGCCAACAGAACACTTTGCTATCTCAATGCAAAAAAAAGACCTTTTCCAGCACACATTATAATGAAACTGTCAAAAGTACAGCGGAAACTAACACAACATTGTAAAGCAACTATACTCCAATTTAAAAAAAAGTCAATGCTAAAGAAAGAATTTTAAAGGCAACCAGGGAAAAAAAGAAAGCATCCTACAAAGGAAGCCCCATTAGGCGATAAGCAGATTTCTCAGCAGAAACTCTATAGGCCAGGAGAGAGTGGAATAACATGCTCAAAGTATTGAAAGATAAAAGTTGCCAGCCAAGAATACTCTATCTGGCAAAGTTATTCTTCAGATATGAAGGAGAAATAAAGGCTTTTCCACATAAATAAAAGCTGAGGGAGTTCACCACCACTAGACCTGTCTTACAAGAAATGCTGAAAGGAGCTCTCCAAGCTGAAACAAAAAGTTGAAAGTACACAAAACTCTGATTAAGGTGATAAATAGACAGAATTAGAAAATTGTAACTGTATTTTACAATAGTGTGTTAAACAATTATAGCATAAATGTTAAAGAAAAAGAGCATTAAAAATTACTGTACTACAATTTGGTAGCAAATTCACAGCATGAAAAGCGATCATCTGTGACATCAAAAATCTAAAAGGAGATGTAAAAGGATGAAACCTTTACAGGTGAATGAAGATAAGTTGCTATAGGCAGAAAAAGGACTATTTTACCAATTAGATATTTTATGTAAACCTCATGGTAAAGACAAAGCAAAAATCTAAAGGAGAGACATGAGATGTAAAAAAGGGGACAGTGAGCAAATCACCATGGAAAATCATCAACTTACAAAGGCAGACAACAAAAAGAAGGGAAAAAAAAAAAGAACCAATGGAGATACAAAATAACCAGAAGGCAAAAGACCAATGGCAATAGTAAGTCTTACATACCAATAACCACCCTAAATGTAAATGGATTGAATTCACCAATCAAAAGGCACACAGTAGATGAAAAAAAAAATCAAGTTCCAACTATATGCTGCCTACAGGAGACTCATTTCAGCTCTAAAGACAAGTAAACTCAAAGTGAAGGGATGGAAGATGATATTCCAAGCAGAAACCAAAACAAAGTGGGCGTGGCTACACTTATATCAGACAAAATATACTCAGGCCAAAGACAGTAACAAGAGACAAAGAAGTCATTATATATGATGATAAAGGGGTCAACAAATCAAGAAGATATAACAATTGTTAATATATATGCTCCAAACACCCGAGCACCAAAATATATTAAGCAAATACTAGCAAACCCTAAGAGAGAAATAGACAACAACAGAATAATAGTAGGGGACATCAATATGCCACTATCAGCAATGGATAAATTGTACAGCCAGAAAATCAATAAGGAAGTGCTGGAACTGAACCATCTTTAGAACAAACAGATTTAAGAGACATATACAGAACATTCCTTCCAGCAGCAGCAGAATACACATTCTGCTCAAGTGCACACAGAACATTCCCCAGGATAGATCATATGACAGGACACAAAACATATCTTTACAAACATAATATTGAAATCATACCAACTATCTTTTCTGGCCACAGTGGTATGAAAGTAGAAAGCAGTAAAGAGAGGAAAGTAAGAAGACCTACAAATATGTGGAAGCAAAACAACATTCTTCTGAACAACCAATGGGTGAAAGAAGAAATCAAAAGAGAAAAAATCTCAAATTAAAATGGAAATATGACATATCAAATTTGTGGGATGCAGCAAAAGCAGTTCTGAGAGGAAAGATTACAGCAATGCATATATTAAGCAATTAGAAATACCTCAAATAACCTAACCTTACACCTCAAGGAACTAAAAAAAGAAGAACAAATTAAGCCCAAAGCTAGCAGAAGGAAGGAAATAACAAAGTTCAGGGCAGAAATGAATGCAATAGGACAAGAAAAACTACAGAAACGATCAACAAAACTAAGCTGTTTTTTTGAAAAGACAAACAAAAGTGACAAAATATCTAGACTAAGAAACAAAGAGAGAAGACTCAAATAAATAAAATTAGAAATGAAAGGGGAGACATTACAAGTGATGCTGTAGAAATACAGATGCTCATAAGAGACTACTATGGACAAGTGTATGCCAAGAAATTACATAACCTAGAAGAAACTAACAAATTTCTAGAAACACAACCTATCAAGATTGAATCACGAGGAATTAGAAAATCTGAACAGACCAATAATGAGTAAAGAGATTGAGTCAATAATCAGAAACTTCCCAACAAAGAAAACCCCAGGACCAGATGGCTTCACTGGTGAATTCTACCAATCATTTAAAGAATAATTAACACCAATCCTCCTCAAACTTTTCCAAAATACTGAGGAGAAGGGAACACTTCCAAACTCATTCTATGAGGCCACCATTACCTTGATACCAAAACCAGATAAGGAGACCACAAGAAAACTACAGTTGACCCTTGAACAACACGTTTTTGAACTGCACAAGTCCATTTATACACGAATTTTTTTCAGTAAATGTGTACTACAATATTACATGATCCCCAGTGGTTGAGTCTGCAGATGCAGAACCATGGTTTCAGAGGAATGACTGTAAAGTTATATGCAGATTTTTGACTGCACGGGGCTTGTGCCTCTAACCCCTGTGTTGTTCCAGGGTCAGCATTAACCAATATCCCTGATGAATACAGATGTAAAAATTTACAGCAAAATATTAGCAAACCAAATTAAAGAACACATTGAAAGGGTTATACGGGGCTTCCCTGGTGGCGCAGTGGTTAAGAATTCACCTGCCAATGCAGGGGACACGGGTTAGAGCCCTGGTCCGGGAAGATCTCACATGCCACGGAACAACTAAGCCTGTGCACCACAACTATTGAGCCTGTGCTCTAGAGCCCGCAAGCCACCACTACTGAGCCCATGTGCCACAGCTACTGAAGCCCACATGCCTAGAGCCCATGCTCCACAACAAGAGAAGCCACTGCAATGAGAAGCCCACACACCGCAACCAAGAGTAGCTCCTGCTTGCCGCAACTAGAGAAAGCCCGTGTGCAGCAACGAAGAACCAACGCAGCCAAATTAATTAATTAATTTTTTAAAAGAGTTACAAGTTTCATTGTAATTTTTAAAAAGAGTTACAAGTTTCAATGTATCAATGTATAGATACATTCCTTCATTCACTAAAGGAATGTATACATTGTATATAACGTATAAACATTATTGCAACCATTGTATATAAGTAAAATACATTGTATATAACATTTTTTGGAGAAAATAAAGCAGGAAAGTGGGAGGGGTGGGGGTGGTGGGATGAGGTAAGGCAGGGAAATCAGTTAGGAAGCTATTGCAATAATACAGATGAGAACTGAGAAAATATGGCAGGGCATCATACAAAGTGCAGTAGGATAAGAAGGGTTCCATTTTTCTTGGTAGTTCTATTTTCCTCTCCCAGAGGTATTTATTCCCACACTTTTATATACATACATATATACCTGTGGGAAACAAATGCTATTTTGCTGTTTACTGTTAATTGTGTGAGTTTACATAAATGGCATTATACTGTATTCTGTATAAATTTCTACAACTTGCTTTTTTCCATTTAATAAAAAATTTCTTTTCAAGATAAAACAACCACTTATAATAAATAGTATCTACACTGTGAGTCCAATACAAAAAGGGAAAATATTATCTTTAAAATATATTTACCTTGAAGCTTTCTACTAAGTTCAAGTTTTTCCTGTTCAAGGCGTTTAATTCTTCTTTCATAAGCTTCGGTTGCTAAGTTGTTATCTAGAGTTCTCTGAACATTAACATCGAGATCCAGCGGAGCGGGACCAGCTGTAACTCTTAAACAGCTCCGATCAGACAGAACACTGAAAAAAATGGGAAAAAATGTGGGTTTACACTGAAACAGTAAGTTTGAAGAGAAAAAGATAACCTTTTGAAATTGTTCATTTAAAACATCATTTGAACATCTAGTTATAGCTAGCCATCTGGAGTGATTACAAAACATATTTTTTTGAAAAATCACCATAAACAACTCTTTAGAAGCATTTTTGAAAATGAAAACTTAAATAGCCCAAACTGTCTTGAATTTATTTTAATAACCACAAATTATAAGATGAAGTTTGCTGAAGGGTTAGTGGTAGCTTAAAACAATGTGACCACCTAAGTGAAACAGTAGTCAAAAGCACCAACCATGGTCCTCTTTGGAATTCAAAAGTGAAATGCCTTCATAAGCTACAAGGATATACTGTTCAACACAAAGAATATAGCCAATATCTTATAATAACGATAAATGGAGTATAACCTTTAAAACCTTTAAAATTGTGAATCAGTCATAACTTATATTGTACATAAACTGTATATGTCAATTAAAAAAACTTTTAAGTGAAATGCTTTCTTTAATTCGATACAATTTAATTAAAAACATTTGAAGTGCCGGACATTCAGCAGTGAGCAAAATGCACAACACTTGCCCATATGGAGCAAGTTTTATATTCCAGTGGCAGAGACAAAAATAAACAAACAAGTAAAATATTCAATACATTAGACAGTGTTATATGCTAAGGAGAAAACATCAAGCAAGAAAGGGGGAACTGAAGTATTAAAGTGGAGTAAATAAAAAATGTAGATAAAGTGGTCAGGAAAGTCATCACTCAGAAAGTAACTGAATAAGTCCAGAAGGAATAAGGGGACCTGCCAAGGAAATATGAGAGGAAGGAGCATTCCCGGCAGATGAAATAGAAGTACGAAAGCCCCATCAACTATACCGCAATAAAATAAATGAAAAAACAAAGAAAAAAGAAGTGCAAAAGCCCCCAGACCAGAGTATGTCTGGCACGTTCACGGGCCGGAAAGGAGACCTGTGTGGCTGTGAAGTGAGCAAGGGGAAGAATAGTAGGAAATAGAATCAGAAAGATAAAGCGAGCCAGTCTTGTAGGGCCCTATAAGAACTCTGGAGTTAAGATATGAAGCCACTGGAGTTGGGGGCAGTGAGAACTGGTCCTGAACAGGGGAGTGACATACTCTTGACTTGTCTTTTAGCAGGTTCACTCAGATAGGTTCAGAGAAATATAAGAAATGATGTTACAAACATCGGAAATAGGTGATTAAGAGAGATTTTAAGTAGAAGTGAGGAGAGAGGCCTCAGCTGAAGATACACATTTAGGAGTCATCAGCAAATAATACCAGAGCACCAGAGTACAAACAAAAAAGATCCAAAGATGAAGTGACAGGACACAGGGAGATTAGGAGGAATGTGGAGAATGAGAAGGGGTGGCCAGAAAGGTAAGGAGAAACAAGGCAAGTGCTCTGGAAGCTAACAGGAGAGAGTGTTTTAATGGGAAGGAGCCGGGACAAATGAGATGAGACTAGGCAAATAAGTCAGACTAGGACTGAGAAATGATTGCTAAACTTAGCAACGTGGAGGTCAGTGGTGACATGGATAAAAGCAGTTTGCATGAAGTGATGGGAGCACAAACCTGACTGGAGTGGTGCCAAGAAAGAAGAGTATGAGAAAAATGGACAAAGTACAGACAACAATTTGAAGTAACTCTCCTACAATTAAGAGCAGAAAAATGGTTGGTAGCAGGTAAAGAAAGTTAGATTAACAGTTTTTAGATTTTGCTTTAAGATGGGAGAAAAAACTGCATGTTTGTGAGCTGATGGAAATGACCTGTTATGCAAATGACACAGAAAGGGAAAAATTTATGATGTAACAGCAATGCGCTAGAGTAGGAAAGAGAAGACAGAAGGGATGTGGCTTAGCTAGGGAGATCACACCATCATCCATAAAAAGAAGGCTACGTGGGTCCAGCAGTGTGAAGGTGGTAAATGTGCTGATGGGAACTTGGGGAAGTTGTCTGCTGAACGCTTCAACCTCTCTGTGAAAGAGGAAGCGAGATCATCAGGTGAGACTAAGTATGACAGGGGTTTTAGAGGAAAAGTATAAAGTATGAAATAGTTACCTAGGAGAGTGGAAGAGTGAATACACTAGGGTAACACAGTATATTTGCCAGGCAGCAATAAGTGGCACCTGAGGTTGGTAATCATGAACTTAAAGTGAGACCAGTAAGAATGGACAGATATTTTTCTCTAGACACTTTGAACTGCACAGGTATAGGCAGAAAACGGAACTGTAATAATGAATGTCAACTTAGCAAAACCAGTGTTACAGAATAACAGACAGTCAAGGAACTGAGGGGGCACCCAAGGAGTGACTATAGTCATTCTCAATGATATTTAAGGAAAGGTAAGGAGGAAAGAGAAGATATGAGTGGAATGAGGGTCACTGAAAAGAATGTTAAGATCAGTGGGTTGAAAGTTCTGATGCTTGACACCTAGAAAATATTTATTCAATAGCATGGGACTCTTCTAATTCCTGCCCCATTGCTAAGAGTTAGATTCTGAGCTCTCTCATTTGTCCTCCAAAATGAGTTAAGATTCTTATATGTTCTATTCACTTTGTAATGTCTAACTTTTTCCAGCAGTAGCTTTTTCTAAAAAATTTTTTACAAGGCTCTCTTATGCATTATATTTCTTAAAACCTCAATTCATTTTTAATTTGATTTAAATCATCCAAATCATGTTAACTTTTCAAACTTACCAGCTACTAGTATATGTAAAACCAACAAATGGCAGATGGTGACCAGAAAATGCAGTATGTGTTGGTGGGGGCATTGTTTCCTAAAGGAGGAAAAAACATCTGGTAAGAAATGAATAACTATAAACTGCAGGCTGGGCTATAAATATTACCTGTCAATAGTAAATAGGTGACTGATCAATTTAGAAACATTGCTAAGTTTGGTACAGACATTTAGTGATAAAAAATTTAGACCATAAATATTGCTATTGTAGAATTCTAATAAAATGAAAAGAAAGATTTAAAGTCTGACGGATATTGAGAGTAGAATCATTATTCACGTATTCCATAACTGCAAATTTGCCTAGTCGCTAAAATTTATTTGTAGCCCAAAATCAATATTCACAAATACTTTTGTAGTCATTTGCAGACACTTGCAGAGCAAAGAAAAATTTGAGCTGCCCTACGCACATGTTACCAGCTCGAGTTGAACAAGGAGACATATATGCCTTCTTGTTTCAGCTCTCATACTATAAACAAGTGGGTTTTTTTCAATGTCTACATGTGCCACATTTTTCTCATTTTTGTGTTTTTTACAGGTGATTTTGCTATCTAAAATGGCCTCCAAGAGTAGTGCTGAGATGCCATCTATTGTGTCCAAACAAGAAGGCTGTAATGTGCCTTACAAAAAAAGGGTGTTAGACACGCTTCATTCCAGCATGAGTCACAGTGCCGTTGGCCATGAGTTTGACATCAATGAATTGACAATATATGTTAAATAAGGTGTCTTTAAATAGAAACACACATCAAACAAGGTATTGTGTGGCTGATGTATTGTACTGATTGGTTGATGAGAACATTGTGACCAGAGGCTCACAGGAACCTGACTGTGTATTTCCCCTAGGAGCAATGGTTCAGGATTCACTAATACAGTATTTGCAGCAACTTTACTGAACATAACTACAGCAAACAGTCAGAATCAGCTTTACTGTGTATATAATTTGGAATGACTCACAATTCCTGTTAACAGTAAATGTAATTCTTGTAATTAAAAAAACTGAGGAGGAAACTCCATTTAATTCTTTCTTGTGAGGTTCAGTAAGGAAAGTATAAGAGAAGTTCTTATCTGTCTTGAATATGGTACTTAACTGAACAGTGAAAAGTAAATTCTTAGTGCAGAATTAAACCCATAAGAAATAAAATAACTAAATAAAAATGAAAGTTCAAAATAAGAAGGCTAAGGACCTACTGTATAGCAGAGGGAACACTTCTCAATACTCTGTAATGACCTATATGGGAGAAGAATCTAAAAAAGAGTGGATATATGTATGTGTATAACTGATTCACTTTGCTATACAGCAGAAACTAACACAACCCTGTAAATCAAGTGTACTTCAACAAAATTTTTTAAAAAATTAAGAAGGCTAAAAAGACAAAAAACAAAAAAAATTGTGTTATTTCCCTAAATTTTAATTTAATATAACCTAATGGTTTAGAGCAGAGGTTGACAAACTATGCTGGCCTGCTTTGGTATGGCCCACAAACTAAAAATGGAGGACTATTTGGCTAATGCACTGGTCAGCCACCTGCCGCAAACAAAGCTATAACTTTAGGTTAATAAGGCTATAGATTTTCTCTCCCCATTCATTTCCTACCAAGTTTGCTATTTTAGTGGCAACACCACTGGGCACAGATATTTAGCTCTACAATCAAGTCAGCTCCCTCTGTCAGCAAAACGGCTGGTTTTTACAAGCAGCTCCATGCTAGCAGTTCTACTGTCCCCATTAGGCTGAGGGAAAAGTTGGGAGGGCTGTTTTTAACCAAAGTTCAACAGTATTTCATGAATAAATGCTTCTCAATTTATTTACCTTGGGTTGATTTATTAAGCCCTGAAATGGTTGTTTTTGACAATTTTGCCCAGTTTCAAGGTGGTTTTTAAGGAGAGATTTGCCAGTGTCTTCACTCTGCCATCATGAAGTCCACTTTTTAAAGCATCTAATTTGTCCTCTTTTTTTTTGCGGAACGTGGGCCTCTCACTGTTGTGGCCTCTCCCGTTGCGGAGCAACAGGCTCCGGACGCGCAGGCTCAGTGGCCACGGCTCACGGGCGCCGCCGCTCCACGGCCCGTGGGATCCTCCCAGACCGGGACACGAACCCGTGTCCCCTGCATCGGCAGGCGGACTCTCAACCACTGTGCCCCCAGGGAAGCCCCTAATTTGTCCTCTTCTTAAGAAACCTAATGACATAACTAATCTAAGAAGTAAATCTTTGAATTTTAATTTAGCTCCTAGTCATGAATAACTATGCTCACCTCAGTTAACTCTTTTAATTTCTTGATTTAGGGAGAATAAATACTGGAAGCCACGATAACTGTTTGATAATTGGTAAGGTGGTCTATAAAATTACTTTGTAACCATATTGACAAAAAAAAAGAAAAAAAAAGCAGAAGGACAGAACTTCTTTACAATGTCATACTCACAGAATTCTTTAAACAATCATCATCCACATCAAAATTTGATGTATCTGTTGGGCTACTAACTTCTGGAATGTAAGGTGCTTCACAGTTTCGAATATTATCCCAATCAATTCCACTGAAAAATGGGTGCTTCTTAAAGTCTTCTATTCCATTTTGACCAAGTCGATGTTCTCTGCTACAAATGAGCCTTCGAATAAGATCCTTAGCATTTTCAGAGACATCAGCCACTTGAGCTGGAAACTGAAACCTCTCCTAAACAGAGAATAATAGAAACAAAATATAAATCACTATTCAATTTACTAAGTAGGTTGATGTTAGCATTTACTTTCTTAAAAATACATTTTCTTTTAAAAATATCTAATAAATATATATGGTACACTGTCCTACAGCAGAAACTAATACAACATTGTAAAGCAATTATACTCCAATAAAAATTGTTTTTAAATAATAAGAATATATGGTACAAAGTACTGATACTAAAAGAGATGCAGGAATAAATTTAAAAGGATAATTTTCCTAAAAGAAGTTTTCATTTCATATGTGACTTAGTCATAGATGCACTACAGAAAGAAAAAGTTAAATGCTAAAACACCTTAAATGCTGTCAAAATGAATTCATTAAATGTAGTAGAATGTGACTCAGCATTTTAATAGTGTATATGATTGATAATGTTCATATAAGTCACATACTAATGATTAATGTTATGGAACATTTTTAAAGAATGTAATATGTACTTTACACTACGGGAGGTGCGTTACTCCTTTAGCTCATTTAATCCTCAGAGCAACTGTATAAGGTAGATACTCCTATTACTCTAATTTTATAGAAGAGGAAACAAAGAAACAGTTCAAGCAATTTGCTTGATGTCACACAACTAATAAATGGTAATAAACTGATTTGAACTGAAACTGTCTGATTCCAGAATCTGTGCTCTTAACAACCATGTTATAGTACAATGATTTCTATCTGAAATGCTTTACATGCTGTTTACAACTTTGTAGCTATTTCTTGTCTTTCAACTCTTCGTAACTACTTAGCAGATTATCTTTGCAGCCAGGTAGAAAAGCATTGACTCTATAAGACTGATTTATATATATGTGTAGCAATTAATCATAACTGTGTCACCAGAACCAATGAAAAAGAACAGACTGTCACTCCCTTTATGGGATATTCCTATTCATATTCTAGGTTTCTGCAATTGCTCACAATCTTCTGAGACTGATAATCAGACTCTTCCTCTTCTTGTACAATCTATTTCACTTGGTACTAAGTGGATTAAAGTTTATTCATTCTTTCCTGCTCTGCATCTGGACTGTTTCCAATGTTTGGTGATCATAAATAATACTGGGATAGGTATCTTTGTACATATATCCTTGTTCTACGAATATTTTCCTTAGGGTAGATTCCTAGAACTGAAGTTACTCAACCAAATGTTTTAACCATTTTTTTTAAGGCTGTCGATGCATACTTATAAACTTCTTGACAGAAGGATTATATCAATTCACATTCCTATCAACAATGTCTAACAATTTCCACCTCACTGGATTATTTACAGTAATAGTATTTACTATTTTTCTTTTCATCTTCGCCAATTTGACAGGGGGAAGAAAAGGATGCCATTCTTATTTTAATTTGCATTTTATTTATTACTATTAAGATTGAGAATTTTAAATGCATTCTAGTCATGATTATACTTATATTATAGTAGTAATGATATAAATTATCTGCTTATGATCTGTGTTAGTCTACTGAAGAGAACATTTAATTTTCTACTTATTAGCACCTCTAATGAAATACAGGAGAAGGTGAAAACTAATAATTTTATGCATAATTTATGGATCTTGATTACTCATATTTGTCATGTCCCTTATTAGCATAGAAATTAGATTGTTTATTGTTCTTGGAAAATCATTTTCTTTTTAAGTATCACATTTTAATTTTATTGAATATTATATGTATTATTTACCACATTCATTTGAAAATTAGTAAAATATACTAACTTTGTGATTCATGATTTTTCCGTATGTTTCCACCAGAGATTCTGCATAAAATGGTGTTTCTCCATAAAGCATTTCATACATACAGACCCCCAAAGACCACCAGTCACACTCAGGTCCATATCTGCCTTTTCCATCTTCCATGGCTTGAAGGATTTCAGGAGAGATATAATCTGGAGTTCCAACAGCCACTGAGGACTGTACCTGAAGAAGTTCACATTTTTAGTAAAATCTACCGTAATATATTAGAAACAAATAATAATTTTAAATTAGAAACATTTACTTAAAAATACAATAGCATTACTTCATAACAACTACAACTTCGTCATTATCTGAATTCAGCCTCCTGGTCCATATAAGTTAAAATTTATATAAGCACCATACCAACAAGTTCTCCAGATTTTTTTAACACTATAGAACGTTTATTATAGCTGTTACTTAATTGACTACATTTAGGGTAACAATATGATTTGAACACCACAGCCACTAAACCACAAATTGAATATATATTTTAGAACATTCTTATTATTGATATTATCCATCCAACACTTACATATGAAAAATGGAACTGTGAAAATTTTACAGTTAATTAGGGGGAAAAATAAAAAAGTCTGGCTAATACTATGAGCAGACTGGAGATTATTTTAAAACACCTTAATGAAAACCTAAGGAAATAAATGTTAACAATGTCCCGCAAACTACTTATCTATTTAAAAAAATTATAAAAGGGAAAAATATATATCCTTCAAAAAAATAGAGTCCCAACAGAGAAAAAGAGCTGGGCATACAATTATGGCAAGTTGGATGTAAATTAGAAAACAACAGCTAAAGAGGATCCTGGGCACATGTCTTGTAAGGTATTCCAAAGTAAAAGAAAATTGGTTCTTTATGTTTTAAGAGAACATATCAAGAAATGAACATTCTCAAGATAAAATAATGGTTAATACTCCGAGTTTTCTAGACTAAATTACCATTCTTAATAATCATTAGAATAGACTTCCTCCCTGGCAATACTGAGATTAAGTAACTTGAAAACTCTGCTACTACAAACTCTTAAAAGTACTAGATAAAATATAACAACCATTTTTATAAATACATAAATGAGCCTTTAAATAAAGAGACAGTCTTAGGGGCCCAGTAATCAAGAAATGATTGAGAACCAGGGCGATAAACATTGCAGCAGGAGTGCAGTTGGAGAAATACTGGTTTTCATTTTCTAGGTACTTACTTGGCTTTTAACATATACATAAGGACAAAAGGAAAGACCTTGAACTTATAGGACATTTGAAGTGAGAGGCTGCCCCATATAACCTTTACCCTAAAAGGCATATTGTAAGGAAAAGGTGAATTATGAAAATCTGCCACTCAGCAGAGAAAGATTAAGACATTTTGTCTATCTTGACTGTGACTGATATGTGAAAAAAATTTCCTCCTTTAGAAATTCATAACTTTAGGTCACATAGTCCCACCATTTGGAATTCTAATTCACAGGGTTTCTGTTGTTCAGAAGTTCTCAAGCCAAGAAACTGGCAAAAATACTGGCACCAGGTTAGGTGCCCCTAGAAAGCCTGGCATAACAAATTCAAAACTACCGTGGGGGACACTTGCTCAAACTTGGCCACATATAATTCTCACACATAAAAGGTCATTGAAGATGAGCTCACAATCCAATAATATAACAAAATGAGGAGACATTCTATTACCAGCAAAAGTCAGAAATCCAAACAATTAGACCTCTAACAATTATCAGTTCCACTTCATGAAACAAGTATGTTTAAAATTATTAGACATATTAAAAAATAAAAAAACATAAGAAAAAGATGAAAAAAATTAAAGAGAGGTCCTAGATATGGAAAAAACTAGTCACTGAAATAAAAGATATGAAAAAATAAATGAAATCGGATCCACTACTATACACACTGCAGTTAAACTGCAGAGCACCAAAGGCAAGAGATCTTAAAAACATTAGAGAATAAAGAGAGATTTTTCTACCAAGGAATGACAATTAGACTGACAGCTGAATTATTAATACTAACCACAGCAGTCAGAAGAAAATGGAATTGTATCTTCAAAGTGATGAGACAAAATAATTGTCAATATTATATTCCCTACCTACCTAAATTATAATACAGGAATGAGGATTAAATAAAGATATTTCCATACAAAGATTGAGTGAACTACCACTTGCAGCCCTTTCAGTTGAGCAAAAGTACTAAAGGATATACTTCAGAATTAAGAACTATAACCCAGGGCTTCCCTGGTGGCGCAGTGGTTGAGAGTCCGCCTGCCGATGCAGGGGACACGGGTTCGTGCTCTGGTCCGGGAAGATCCCACATGCCGCGGAGCGGCTGGGCCCGTGAGCCATGGCCGCTGAGCCTGCACGTCCGGAGCCTGTGCTCCGCAATGGGAGAGGCCACAACAGTGAGAGGCCCGCGTACCGCAAAAAAAAAAAAAAAAGAAAGAAAGAAATATAACCCAGATGGAAGAATGTGACACTAGAAGCAATTATGAACAAAGATATTAGTAAACTTTAACATACATCTAAATGGTTATTAATTGGATAAAATAATGACAAAGAGAAGGAGGAACAGGACAACAAAGAGTAAGATGAGGAGGAGGAGCAGGGGCAACAGAAAAAGGAGATGGAGGAGGAGGAAGGAACAACTACTTGAAGGTTGAAAAATAAGATGGAACTAAAATACCAGAAAACAACATGCTACTGAGGGAGCAGTTAGGATTACAATGTTCTAAGTTTCTTGGTTTTCTAATTTTTATTTACTGTTTAATTATCATTTTTAATTGTGGAAAAACACCCATAATATAAACCTTACCATTATAACCACTTCTAAGGGTACAGTTCAGTGGCATTAAGTACATTTACATTGTTGTGCAACCATCACCACCATCTCTAAAACTCTTCATCTTGCAAAACTGAAAATCTATTAAACAATAATTCCCCTATTCCCTCCTCCTCCCAGGCCCTGGCAACCACCACTATACTTTCCATGAATTTGACTACTCTAGGTACTTCAAGTAAGTGAAATTGTACAATAGTTCTTCTTTTGTGTCTGGCTTATACCACTTGGCATGTTTTTAAGAAGGTCTATCCTTGTTGTAGCATGTATCAGAATTTTAAGGCTAAATAATATTCCAGTGTATGTATATACCACATTTTTTTTTAATCCATTCATCCAACGATGGACACCTGAGTTGCTTACATCCCTTGACTTTTGGGAATAACCGTGCAATGAACATGGGTGAACAAATATCTCTTTGAGACCCTGCTTTAAATTCTGTGGAGCGGAACTGCTGGATCATATGGTAATTCTATTTTTAGTTTTTTGAAGAATTGCCATACTGGTTTCCACTGTGGCTACAGCCTTTTTACATCTCCATCAACAGTACACAAGGATTCCAATTTTCCCACACCTTTGCCAAAACTTATTTTTTTTTATAGTAGCCGTCCTAATAGGTGTGAGGTAGTATCTCATTATGGTTTAGATGTGCATTTCCCTAATGACTAGTGATGCTGAGCATCCTGTCATGTGCTTGCTGGCCATTCGTATATCTTCTTAGAAGAAATGTCGTTTCAAGTCCTTAGCTTATTTTGAATTGGGTTGTTAGTTTGTTACTGAGTTGTAGGGGTTCTTTATATATTCTGGATAGCAACCTCTTATCAGACATAGATTTACAACTATTTTCTCCCATTCCATAGGCTACCTTCTCACTAAGATAACTGTGTCCTTTGATGCACAGAAAATTGTTAATGATGATGTAGTCCAATTTGTCTATTTTTTCTTTTGTTGCCTATTGCTTGGTGTCACATCCAAGAAATCATTGTCAAATAAAAGTCATAAAACTTCTCCCCCACCCACTATGTTTTCTTCCAAGAGTTTTATAGTTTTAGCTCTTACATTTAGGTTTTTGATCTATTTTGAGTTAATTTTTGTAGGTGGTATAAGAAAAATTAAGTTTTTTTCTTTAATTAGGAATATGGTTGAGAAACTGATTGACTCTAGACTTTACATAAAGGATAAATGCTAAATTTTTTAAGATAAACATTAAAATATTTGAAATAGAATGTATAACTTCCAAAGAAGAAAAGAAAAAATAAAAATAAATTTGACCCAGCCAATAGAAGGCAGGGAAGAAGTGGGGTGTGGGGGAGAAGCACACATGCAAACAAACAAGCAAGACTTACAGCAAATAGAACAAGACAATATACTAGAAATAAATACAAACATATTAATAATGAAATTCATAAATGGATTAAATTCACCTATCAAAGGACAGAGTCATCACAGTAGATGACAAATAAAACCAAAATGAAAAAATTTTTAAAAAATCAGCAATAATCTGCTTAATGCACCTAAACATAAAGACAAAGAAAGGTTAAAAATAAAAGGATGGAAAAGATATACCAGGCATATGTTAAACAAAAGAAGGTTAAGGTAGCTGTATTAATATCAGTCAAATTAGACTCTAAGGCCAAGATGATGATTATGATTTTTAAAGATTTATTAACATAATTAGAAAATACCCTGGAAGAGCAATTCTGAATAATATGTAACTAACAACATAGCTACAAAAGAGATGAGAAAACATTGATAAGTTCAAGGGAAAATTAATAAATTCAACATCATAATAAGGACTTTTAAATAACAAATAATAGATCAGAAAGAAATAAAACTGGTAAGAATATTAAAATTTTGAACAATAAAGTTAATAACTTTAATCTTACGGACATATATAGAAACCTGCACCCAAAAGTTAGGAAAAAATGTATTATTTTCAAACAAACATGTAACAGTTATAACTGGCCTGTTACAAAATTAAAAGCAATCTTGACAAATGCTAAAAAACTGATAATAGATCCACTCTCCAGTAAAAGAAAACTTTCTATAAACAGCCAAATAAGTAAACATAACACTATGAATACTAAAAGGCACACATCTAAATAATTAGTGGTCCACAGAAGAGTTCTAACTAAAGCTGGAAAATATTTAGTAGAATACTCTGTGTCAAAACTTATGAAGAAAAGTAAAGCACAAATAAACAACATTAGGAATGAAAAAAGGGCAAAACTACACATGTAACAGAGATTTTAAAACTAGAAAAGTGCAATCTGAACAACTTTATACCAATAAAATTGAAAACTCAGAGAAAATAGATAATTTTCATAGAAAAAAATATAACTTACCAAA